GGGTTGGTCTCTTCTCCCAGGCAACCAGCAGGACAAGAGGGCACAGACTCAAGCTCTGCCAGGGGAGGTTCAGGTTGGATGTTAGGTGAGATGTTTTACAGAGATAGTGATCAGGCATTGGAATGTGCCGCCCAGGGAGGTGATGGATTCACTATCCCTGGAGGTTTTCAAGATGAGACTGGATGTGGCACTTAGTGCCATGGTCTAGTAACATGACCTTGGAGGTCTTTTCCAACCCAGCTGATTCTATAATTCTAAGATTTAAAAACTGTCCATAATTTAAGCACTACACTGAGTAAAGTGACATAAGGAAAAATAACAAGAAGTGTAATTTTCTAACTGTTGCCACAACTTGTGACTGATGTTATTTAACAAAATACTCCACTTCTTATTCTGCTGCAAGCTTTCACAAAACACATGTAAAACTCATTCTCCAGATCCCACTGCCAAATCACACTGTAGAGCTAAACTCAGAAAATTATTTCCCAAAGATATTGTTGTGAAGAATCATCACACAGTAGTGCTGGTGGTTTTTAAGCCTCTCTGCATTTGTGATGCACACATGACACTAATTAACTTCAGCTGTCTGATTTGCCTCGTCCCCTAGGTTTTTTCTGGCAGACCACCACTGACAAATAATTTACATAGGTTTTTCGACTGAAGATGGCACTGAGGCCTCTTTAGATGTAATTAAAATCTTTTACAGTTTAGAGAAGTGTTTTTTCTTTCTAGAGATTGACTTTATTGACTATTTCACTTCGTATTAATTAATTTTCACATTTTAAATAAATACTGAGGTTTTTGCCACACCAACTCATGAAACTTCACTTGTAAGAGCATAAGCATGAAGCAATTAAAAACAGCACTATAAAAACACTTTCAACTCTAAAATTAACCTGTGACCACTGGATCTTAGAAACACTGAAGAATCATTAATACTTCAAGCTGGGATTATGTATAACAGAATATATCCAAAGAATAACAGCCAGTAACTCCTAAAACAAAGAAAGCAGGTTACTTCAGAAAGAATTTAAGAGATGTACAAAATATTCACATAGAACACTCAGAACACCATTTAGACAAAAACACTGAAGTAGCCAAGATTTGCAGCTTTGGAGGAGTTACAAGCAGGCAAATTGGCTATCAAGTCTAAGTAATTGACAGATCTTTCAGCAAGTGATACACTATTTACATATCTTACATTTATATACTTTCTTACTGTACATATTATCTCTAAATCTTTCTGTTCCAGTCCATCTGAAAAATCAATGTGTCATGACTGAAATGAATTTGTATGAAAGCCTGAAAACAAAAGTGTTTAGCAGAAGTTAGGAAGCTTGCTGGCATGGGAATGGGGTAGAAGAGCCAGCAAGGGAAATATTAATTGAAACACTGTCTTGGTTTAACCCTAGCTAGCAACCAAAAACATGCAGCCTGAGTGGCTCTCACTCTCCCACCAATGGGATAGGGGAGAGAATCAGAAGGGTAAAAGCTAAGAAAACTCATGGGTTGAGATAAGGACGGTTTACTAGTGAAAGCAAAAGCTGAACACACAAGAAAAGCAAAACAAGGAATTAATTCACTGCTTCCCACAGGCAGGAGGTGTTCAGCCACCTCCAGGAGAGCAGGGCCCATCACATGTAATGGTTCCTTGGGAAGACAAACACCATCACTCCAGATGTCCCCCCTTCCTCCTTCTTCCTCCCACCTTATATACTGAGCATGATGTCACATGGTATGAAATATCCCTTTGGTCAGTTTGGGTCACCTGTCCCAGCTGTGTCTCCTCCCATTCTCCCATGCATCCCCAACTTGCTTCCCAGCATGGCAATACAGAAAGCAGTAAAGGTCTTGGCTCTGTGCAAGCAACTGCTCACAATAACAAAAACATCTCTGCATTACCAACCCTGTGCCTTGCACAAATCCCAAACATAGCCCCATACTAGCCATTGTGAAGAAAGTTAACTCCACTTCAGCCCAAACATGAAGGGGTAAAAGATGACTTAATTAATTACTTACTAAATCTCTACAGCCTTATCTCTAGGCTATAAAGCCTAGAAACTAGGTTACATTTTCACAACAAAAAACATGGTCAGCTGTAGATATGTACAGATGTTATTAAACTAATATTTTAGTTTTTCAGTCCTTTCTAAGGAAGAGTCAGTCCCTCTTTTACAGACAAAACATCCTAGTTATTCCCACTGCAGTTGCTGAATCTGATATATACATATTTACATTAAGAAAAACTCACTGAAGAACCTTCCAGATGCAAATAACGAATCCCAAACTTGTGTTGTTCTATAACCGAATTATTAATCTTCTTATAGCAGTTTCTTAAAATAGATACACACACACAAAATTTTAAATAACTCCAGCAGCACTAGGTTGATTTTCACTGTTCACAAAACTGTTATTTGTAAAAGATTTCTGTTAACCTTCAAATTTGTCTAATGTGTACAGATAACTATGGCACAGATGATCAGTGAGAGGAGAAATGGGATCATCAACAGGGAACTGGATGTTTTTGGCACCTAAACAGAGTGAGAGCCTCTGCCAGCTATAAAATACCAGTGTGTTTTGCAGTCAGCAGATGGAAACAGGATCTCCCTCACACACGTGCATGCATGGAGCTACCACAAGTAACAATTCCTAGTCAAATGGAATGAGTATCAGACATTCAGGAGAACTCAGGACCAAGACTCTTTTGGCTTCCTGATTTGCCAAGTCTGCACGATAAGAGTCCATGGAAAAAAAACACTTTTTGAAAATTTTTTTTTCCTAAAAGCACAGACTGAACATGCAGCTTTTTGTCAATCTAAGACACATGGCCTAAATTCCAGTTGCACAGCACTGCTGTAAACTTCATGATGAAACAAGCATTTTTAAAGCACACCTAGTTACTGAAGTGCTTATGTACTTTGAAGAAATTACATTGTACTTCACTTACTAACAGCATGTTATTCCATTGTCAGCAACACAACATAAACTTCAGCTACTCAAAACAAAGGTTTTTACATTTCTTTTTCAGCAGTATCTTGCAATGCTCATGGAACAGATCTCCCATTTATTTCCTCTTGTTTGGTAACCACCAAACAAACTGCAGTCTTTGCTAAATGTGAAGCACTACTTGAGTTACCAAAGCAACTGAAGTATTGGCAGATCTTCACATAAAGCAGAGAAAGAACTACTTCTCTAGAGGCAATAAATGTAGATTACTTCTCTGTGGGCTACTGGAGTGGCCCATCATCTTCAGAGAAAGACACAAAGTTCTCCTCTCCATTGGAGGAGAAGGAAAAAAGTCTGTTGTGAAGAAAGTGAAAACCAACCCTTTTAAAGGTGAACATGTATTTCCCAAATATATGTTCACCTTTGTATTTTTCACAAAGAGTTCTGATTTTATTTTTTTCCAAGTTTAGATTTCTACAAAGTTAATTAACTTTTGCTGAGTGACAAGTTAGTAACTTCCAACAGTGAATGATATTTACTCATGCAATAAATCAATACAGTATTCTAAAATACAAAAAGTGAACTATTTGCACATATCTATCACTTATATATGTAGTTATATTTTCTCCATTAATTCTACACTTGAAGTAATCTAAAAGGCTTTATGCTTTATAAAATCATAATAGAAACTCATTTCAACTTTAAGGGCATCAAGAAAAGCTATAGACTGCTTTGTTCTATGGTTCTGATTTCCATTAACCTCAAAAGAACCAGGATCAGTGATTTCTAGTTTTACAGTGATGCAGAATCAAGCAATATTAAGCTTGGTAAGTGCTGAATAAGCAGGTCCCACAAAGCTGTAAGTATCAGGCTCTCAGGGTCAAAAAATCATATTTCAATTTTGCTATTTATGTTTACATCTCATCAATGATACATTTGGGTTTACAGAGTTGTCTGCAAGTACTGTTTTCTTTCCAAAGGAAGATCCGTTTCTTCAGACTTCTACTGAAGTTTTGAAGCCAGGATGACTGCTTCCATTTCTGAGAATACATGCTGTTAAAGAAGACGACTCACATGCTGTACAAGCCTCACAGTCCCTTTTCACTTCCCAAAAGAACTGCCAGCTGACAATACCAGTGTCATAGCCATGGCGTGTTAGTATTAGTTACTATTTTGTATTAATTGCTGTTCCTACTATGCCATACTGTGTACCAAAATAACTATTCCCACTGGGCTCTGATTTTCCACAGCATTTACACCTAATGTCCAATAAAGCAGAAACAGATCTTTGGTTAACACATTTTGCCAATACAATTCATTAAATATTATTTGCATCCCACTAACAAAGGATTTGACGTGGTACAAAAAGATTAAGAGTAGGCTCCTGCTGCCACAGAAGCTGAAGGCAGACAAGATGGTTTTGAGCAAATTTAGTTGCATCCTGGAAAGTCTCCTCACAGCAAATTCACAGCTTTGATGATTTCTCC